CCTAATCACATGCATCCTACTTCAGAAGACTTTCAAATCTGCACTTGAAAGGGAATCCTCTGAACTGGCATTCATGCTAAAATTCGACACTCTCCGCGGGGGGCTGAACAAAGACCCCAACTACCTTACCCATTACAAAGATAGCTTCCCCAATTATCACCTCTAATACCATTAACTCACAGACATCTACCCTTCCCCACCTCTAATATTATTAACTCACAGACATTTACCTTCCTTCGCCCCCTCCCCCCCGTATCCTCCTTTCTGTTCTGAAATGTGATTTGTCCTTTTCATATGTGTTCACTTTTTTTTTTATTGTATCCTTTGGTTATATATGGTCATGCCAATTTTCTTCCACAATTTGATCTGAGGAAGTGGGTCTGGCCCACGAAAACTCATCGCATCCTACTTCAGAAGACTTTCAAATCTGCACTTGAAAGGGAATCCTCTGAACTGGCATTCATGCTAAAATTCGACACTCTCCTCGGAGGCCTGAACAAAGACTCCAGCTATCTTACCCATTACAAAGATAGCTTCCCTAATTATCACCTCTAACACTATTAACTCACAGACATCTACCCTTCCCCACCTCTAATATCATTAACTCACAAGCATTCACCTTCCTTCCCCCCCACACCCCCGCATCCCCCTTCTGTTCTGAAATGTGATTTGTCCTTTTCATATGTGTTCACTTTTTTGTAATTGTATCCTTTGGTATATATGGTTGTGACTATTTTCTTCCACTAGTTGATCTGAGGAAGTGGGTCTGGCCCACGAAAGCTCATCATCTAATAAACCATCTTGTTAGTCTTTAAAGTGCTACATTGTCCTGCCTTTTGTTTCAGCTACACCAGACTAACACGGCTACATCTCTATCACTATTCCATTCCACGTAGCTTTCTTTCTTTTTAGACCCTTCTCCTTGGTGTCCTCTCTCTTGGTCTCCTTCCCGCTGCCTCCCTTGGCTCGCATCTCTCTCCACTTTCTGCTTTCTTCCCGCTTTCTCGGAGTGATACCAGGGAAGCTGCAGTTCAGAGCCCTAATTTGTGACGCAGGCCGTGGAGCTGTTCTTGTGGCCCTTGCTTGCCCACAGAAGACCCAGCTGCGATAATAAGGCACCAATGAATCCCAGCAGCCAATTTTCTGTTTTGACTCCTGGCATTATTTTGCATTCAACACCCCTCCCCTCCCCCATCTCGGATTGCACACTGGCCCATGTGCAAGGAGCCACAAAAATATTTATAGAAGGCCTTCTAAAAGTCAGCGCGTCTCTCTTCTTTTCAGTAAACATGGTGATGGTGGAATTTCAAATGCAGGCGCAAATTCTCCAGGGGAAGGATTTATACCGGCGCAGGAATGAGTCCTTATTTGTAAGCTGTTAGTCTTGGCAAGCTGGAAAATGTTTTTCCCCAAATGTATTTTACACTCATAATTACTGCATGCTGGGTTTATATAAAAAAAAAACCCCATAACTTTAAATGTGTGGCACACGCTATTAAAATGTATATAGAATTCCCGGGCACACTGAAGGAAAATAACACTGAAAAGAGTGTGAGAAAGAGTTGCATGGGGGCGGGGGATTATTATTTTATTTGTGTATTTTGCTCTGTGCTAAACTTCAGTTGTTTCCATTTCTCCAGTGGCCAGGACTATTGCACCCTGCATGTGCGGTCTGAAACCTGGGTTTTGTTAGAGGACAGCGCCATCTAGCAGGGAAAAGAACGGATGCTTGCCCCCAAGAGTGACAAAACGCCAGACATGGGGGGAAAGTGCTGTTTTATTTTCTAAGAACGTTTGTTTAAATTCAAAAGCGGGTTTTAATTAGCGTGCATACGCAGATCCCTTGGGGGAGGTTGCTTATAGCTACTGCGTGCTGGGTCAATATAAAATAACCTCATGGCACTGTGCGAGCGTAACTACTTGTCCACAACTCCTTCCCAGTGTGAGTGCTCGAAGATTTGCAGAAACCGGGTTTTCAGGAGGTATATTCATTGTGCACAACATTTGCAATTTGCATGGAGCAGATTAGCGGCAGGGCTGACATGAGTTGTGCACATTCATTCCGTAAATGATGGTACAGAGGATGCATTTTATTCATCATTTCTAGTATCCACGGTCTGCAGAGCTAGGAACGCAGGAATTACAAGGTTGGCTCTGACCAAAGGTCTGTCTCTTGGGCTATGTCTACACTACCCCTATTTTTTGGAAAAAGGTACGCAAAATGCATTTTGCATTTTGCGTACCTTTTTCCAATTTTTTTTTTTTGGAAGAAGCTTTTCTGAAATTTGGCCCGTCTAGACATACCTTGGCAGGGGGCGGTACCAGTTACTTCAGAGGAAGAAGCAGAAAGAAAGACCCTGCCCTCTTGTAACTCTCCCTTCCCCTCCCCGGCCCATCAATTAGAAATTGGGTTATGCTCTCCCCAAGGATAAAGAGAAGAAATTTGTTCGTAATTTCAAATACGGACTGATCCATCTCTCTCTGAACTCAAACAGAGTTTATCCATTGACTTCAGTATATGGTGGATTAAGACCAGAATGAATTCACTGAAGAATTTCACAATCTCTTCGCAAACAATTTGCTAGCAGGATAACGGGGGCGGAGGGCAAAATTCATTGCTTCAATTATTCATTGTGAATTATTCTTGTGGCTCTGCACAGCTGAAGCCTCCCTAAACTGAATCAGCCCTGGAAAAAGCTGCGAATGCCCTTCCGGCCTAATATCAATATTGTCAACTGTCAATTTGGTAAATATTCACACAGCTGCCAAGACTTTCATGCTAAATTTGAGTTGAATATTTAAAAAAAAAAAATAAAATGCAAGAGAACAGTTGGGCACAAAACAATTCCATGTTCACGTTTTACTCTTGCAAGGCCAGAAAAATCAGACCTCGTGCATTGCGGAAAGATCATCTAGTGGTTAGCGCACTAGGCTGAGGAAAGCCAGGCTCGGTTCTCTGCTCCACAGACTGGCTGCATGACTTTTGACAAATGGTTACAACTCTCTCTGCCTTACTTCTACATCTGGGAATTGGGAAGAACAGCTAGCTATTCCCTTCCTCGTTGGGGTGCTCTGAGGATAAATGCATGTGTTGAGAATGTATCTATATTAAAGATATCATGTTGAGAAGGGCCGTATAAGAACCTCAGACAGTAGATACATTCTCTCACCTAGCTCCACCTACCTTTGCTGTCTAATGACAAGAAATCTCCAGGTAGCAGGACACTTGCAAGCTAACAGCGCCCCAACCTCTCTATTGCAATGTATCTACGGTGGATGCTATTTAAAAGACATGGGCACTGAACGCCAACAGTGCTGGTTTTCTGATCTTTTTCAGTCTGCATTCTGGCTAAGCTGGGATTTCCCAAGGGGTGCTCTGTGGACTCTGGCACTCCTCACGAGAAGTCCAGGGGTCCACGAGAAAGCCTTAATGACAGCTGTATGGCCCTGTTATTTTCTTACGAATTTTCTGATCGTTTTCTCAGGGTGGGGAAAGAATGTATAAGAAATATCCAAAAACTAAAAACTGAATTCCAGAACTTTGTCTATTTATGTGGGCACCTATTGACTTAAAAATCACGCTATTTTAAGGGCTCCACCGAATTTCAGGACCCCATAAGGGCTCCACAGCTGAAAACCGTTTCGGAAACCCTGGATTACAGAGACCACGTCACACCAAGAACACTGACCTATCTCTCCAGGCCCTTATCCACAGCTCCCAGCAGCCTTTGCTGCCATAACAAAAGCTCTGACCTGCTCTGAAAGGGGCTCTAAAGATGGACTCACCGAGGTCCACATTTATTGTCTGTCAATAACTTCAGAGCAAAGCATCTTCATTTGCCAACCAAAAGTTTCTCCCTCTAATTGGAGAAGTGGGTTCTTACTGGCTCCTGCGTCATCCGCATTCATTGAAACGTCATTAATTATTCTGTTGCTTGTAAATTAATAGAGTCAACATTATTCATCCATCTACAATTTAAGCACCAAAATTCTACCTGGAGCTATGCCAGTAAAGACAGGCCTTGTTTTGGGATCCTTACGACAATTATTGGGTGTATTTAATACAGGAAAAACCAGTTCCTCTTCTTGGTCAATGCCAGCTGAAAGTGTAGAACCATAGAATAGAATCAAACAATGGGAGGATTGGAAGAGACCTCAGGAATCATCAAGTCCAGCCCCCTGCCCAAAGCAGGATCAACCCCAACTCAATCATCCAGCCAGGGCTTTGTCGAGCCAAGACTTAAACACCTCTAGGGATGGAGATTCCACCCCCTCCCTAGGGAACCCATCCCAGTGCTTCCCCACCTGCCTAGGGAAATAGTTTTTCCTAATATCCAACCTCGACCTCCCCCACAGCAACTTGAGACCCCGGGGTCCCTTGGGGGGGTCCCAGCCTGTCCCTTCTCCGTGCACTGCCCTCCTCTATACTCTCCCTCCCAAAGGGTTAACAGACCCCCCCACACACACACACACACACTCTTCTCTTCTGGAGACAAAACAAGCCCAAATCCCTCAGCTTCTCCTTGTAAGTCATGTGGCTCCAGCCCCTACTCATTTTTGTTGCCCTCCGCTGGACTCTCTCCAATGCATCCACATCCTTTCCGTAATGAGGGGCCCAGAATTGGATGTAATACTCCGGAAAGCGAAGGTCATGAAAACAGCACCTGGTAAAAAACACCATTCAATGAGAGTTTTCCACAGTTTTGGCCTGATCCCCTACTCCTCATAGACTCTTATTATGCCTGGAGAGCAAATTTGCTGAGTAAGACGGTGTTCGTCTTATAAGGTCGCTTGTCAAACAAAATCTGCAGTTTGTGGTGCCGGCATCTTAAAGTACCGTTATTAACAACCTCCCTTCGCCAAATTAATGTCCTTTCATGATAAGCAGGCAGCCTCTGCTAGGTAAAGGTAGGTGAACACTCTATTGTTACCATCACAATGACATATGTGATTGTCCAGCGTCTGCAATGGGGTAGGCAATTGAACACTGAACAGTGACATTAGGGGTCATTGTTAGAGATCATTCCCCAGGATAGCTGTTATCGTGTTTGCTTTCCTCCGATACAGTGGAAAATCACATACTTCACTGTGTTTGCTGCATTTTACAAAGAGCTCGTAATTGTGTACTCCACTTTCAATTGAAAGTTCCTTCGGATAAGGTATTATTTTGTTTTCTGCCCCCATAAATCATAGCTCCAAAAAGGATTCATCCCATTTATAACCACCCTTGTGTTTATAGGTGTCTCTGATTTACATACAATTTTGGAGAATCAAGGATGGTAGTTTCATAAATTCTTGTCATAATGACATCTGATTGTGTGGAATTTGAGAGGTAAAGAGGTTAAGACTAGCTTTTCTTTGACAAATTGTGTGTGTGTGTGTGTATGTGTGTGTGTGTATTAGTGTTCGAGCTGGTGAGAAATTTTTCCCACAAATTACTTTTAATCAGAAATGGGCATTTTTCATGAAAAAAATGCTGACCTTATCCAAAATTCCATTTTCTGTGCCCTTTTCTCTGAATTTTAAAGCCTGTATCATTGTCATTTTGAAATCATTATGAAATTTGTTTACTAACCCCCACATTCTCATACTGAAAACTAAGATTCTTCAGTAAACCAAAAAGAAATCAAAAAAGATTTTGGAAGAGATTTTTAGGGAAACATTTTAAATCTACTTTCAGAAACGTATACAAAAAAAGGACCCCCACAGAAAGGAAACAACTTTCGTCCGATATTTTGAACTTACTTTTGACCAGTTCAGATAGTGCAGAGATGGGAGAGTCAGCGTTTGTAAGAATTTCTCAGATCTGCTCGCATCGCTAAATTTATTTAATTTTACATATTACAAATCAGCTAGATTGCCCACACAAACACACGCATTATCTAGCGTAGTGCATCTTGTGTATGTTTTAGAACATAGATGAGAACAGCAAGGAAAACGCATGTGCATACGTTTATACAAATGCACACAGAAATTCTATATGAGGACTGTTAGAGGCAAAAATCTTCATCTCTTTGCAAATTTCTTAGAAGGGCTTTGCAAAAGAACTTCAACACACCCATCCCGGTGATGCACCGCACATCCTAGCCACACAGTCCTCTCAGGTGACTCTTTCAAGAAGGTATGAAAGTCCCATTCTTTCACCGGAGGATGCACAGAATTGAGGGTTGTCTGGTTCTGGGGAGACTTACTGTATAATATCTGAAATTGCTAGACATTTGAAGACAGAACTGTCTTTCTCCTTTGAGTATTGCATCTTAAGTGCCAGCCAGAGATGATTTATACATGCTCATCCTTATTATGGGCTACACATAATAAAGGCATGATAGAAATCATATCTGCATAGATTCAGGCAGTTCCAAGAGAGCTGCTGCCAGCTTTGTTTGACAAGACACTCAATCAAGTGAAAAGGTTCAAAATATTCCAGGAGGGACCTCCGTGCGTTTTTAAAACCCAGCATTTGTATCCAGATGGCCTACATGAGAGTAACATGAGTACTTAGTCACCCAAAGTTGCATTTCATAAAGAGGAAAAATATTTTGAGATTGGCGGCCGGTATTATAAAGTCAACATTTTAGTTGTTTTATCATTTCAATATGCTCCAATGCATCCTTGTGTGTTTTTCCTCCCCAAAAGGCTGAAAGAAAGGATGTAAATATGATCCTGGAGAAAGGAGATGATAATGTGCTTTATACGTCGTTTCATAAATTGGATGGGGGAGGCGTTTCCCATGATACTTTTTAATACCTTTAAAATCTCTCCTAGAATCTCAGTTGGTCTTTGCAGTGCAGGGTGAGTTTCCAAAAATAGATGCTTACAGAGGACTATAGCACTTGGGAGAATTGTACAGAGAAAGCAATTAAAGCAATAGGGATTCACGTTCCTTAGAATGCATCCGATTTTCTGTGGAATTTTCCAATGTTTCTGTGAGGGCCCAATTCTTCCAAACATGAGTAATCCCACTGCCGTCAATATACCTACTCAGGCCATGTCTACGCTAGGAGATTAGTCCGAATTTACTAAGTTCGACTTCTGGGTACCCGATTTTACAAATTCGAATGGCATTATTCCTCAGGAAAAACAGGACTACAGGGTTCAATTTCTGCAGTCCCTTATTCCGGAATAACGGGCTTGGGAGTGTGGGCATAACACTTATAAAATCGACCTTGGGGGGAATAATTTCAGACTAAGGGCCTCATGTAGTCCAGGTCTCACAGAAGTAAGGATTTACTCAATCAAGCAAAAAGGTTAAAAAAAATTCCAGAAGGAACCCTCTGCGTTTTTAAGTCCCAAAATTTGTACCCAGACAGCAGAAACCCTACATGAGAGTAACATTCGTATATAGTCACTCGAAATTACATGCTATGATCAAACAAAATGGGATAGTTGCCCGCCCTGAAAGAACAAAAGGAAGATTCCATCTCGGCCCAGCTAAAAGTTTTAGAGGGGGAATTTTTTATTTTTTTTTTGGCCATCCCTGAAATACTTAAACTTCCTCCCCTTCTCCTCTTTTCCTTAGGACTCTGGGATAAACTAACACCAGAGAATGTCACTTGGTACAGAATGTGTTGCATGTTGGCCAAGCAGCTGAGCTGTAAGAAAATGCTGAAAAGTAAAACATTCACTCTTCCTGCTCTTATAAAGCTGACAGTTTGATAAAACATTTCGAGGTGTAATGTTCAAATCGGGGGTGAATTAAAAAATGTAATAATAAAGTTAAATGTAAGTGTTTTAACGTATAATTCTTTGGAGAGCTCCGTTTTATGTCGGACCAGCAATTGAAGTAGCACTAGTCATTATTAACGGGAAGAACAGATAGAGTAGCTTTAAATCACTAAAGTAATAAAATCTGCACCAAGGCTAGCACCTTGAAAGGCTCTTGGAGAGAAGATAGCATACACATGCAATTAAAACGATGCTTATAAAATACTAAGATGTTAATTGGGTTTGGTCCCAGAAGCCCTAGCAATACAGTATGTCAGAAGTTAGCTGGTTTGAAGTTTAAAAAGAGTGGTTTAATTTGTACACCTTGTCCTAATTACGGAGCTTTCTGCAGCCTGTGTATCTGCCTGGTTTATTGTCGCTTGGAGCTTTGTAAAACAAACACACGCCCGTTAATTGGGCTATTGCAATGGAAAATTGGGCTGCAGCACCGAAACCTTGCTTGCTCGAGTGGCGTTATTTATTTATTTATTTATTTATTTTTACGGCTGGTAATGAATGCTGCCGGAGTGTCCGGCCAGACGGATTTGTAAGGTGTGCGGTTTGGAACTCAGTTCTCCCGCTGGCCCCCAAAAGCAGGCCATACAGGGAAAACAAAGACTAGCGCCGCACCGCCTTGCTGAACCAGTGGACTGGAGCCCCGGCTCGCTGATTTATGTCTTTCAACCCCCTCCCAGCCAAAAAAAAATATTCCAGGCGGTCTGACCGCTCCTGTGCCCACATGAAAGAAATGGGAAGGAGAGATTACCGGGGTTCTTTCACGAGCCGGTCTGCTTTGTGGCGCACCTGATGTGAGTCAGGCAAGGTCGTGGATTTTTCTCAGAGTCCATAAATAAATATAGAATGCCAGTAAGGTAGAAGAACAGGGGGATACTGCTGCTCGACTTCTAGTTAGGACTTTCTCTTTGGGATTTATTTGCCTCTTTTGGCAGAGGGTCATTGGCTTGTATTGACAAAGGCTTTTTCCAAGCGAGTCAAAATCAGGATTTAACTCGTCCCTGGGAGGGGCCCTTTCAAATCTTGTTTCAGGCACAAGGGCAATGAGTTTGGGGAGATCTCTGGATTTAACTGTGAGGGTTTTTAGACACATCCCAAAAGCGCTGGAACAATGCACCGGCTTTGCCGCCAAGGAGTCTGATGCGTTTTCCAGTCTCTTTGCTGTTACCCCAGAAGTCACTGGAATGAGACTGATGTAAAACTTGCACAAGTGGGAGGAAAATCAGGCCCTTTGGAACCAAGCTGCAGGTGAGAACAGCTCAGCCGGGTGTCCCAGAGGGCAGGGGGTGCCGCAAAGGTAGCGTTACACCAACTTCTCTGCTCCCCCCATATTGTGACAGTGTGGGGCCAGTTCTGCCTACCCCCCAACATCATGCTCGGTGCATGATGTAAAGTGAAGATGCTTTTTGGCAGGAGAATTTGCTCCCTAGGTCTGATCTGACTCCCTCGGCCAGAGCTTTGGGGACTGGATGTGCGTGAAAGAGAAGAACTGAAAACACAGGCACCCCGTCTCTCTGGCTCATTGTCTCCAGGGCTGGTATCCAGCTCCATTTGTTGGTGACAGGGGCGCGCATACATCTCTGAATCCCATCAGCTGAGGACTTGGCCTGCTTCCAAAAGTCCAAGTCCCTCTGAATCAGATCTTCATCTGTCCAAGGTACAGTAAACTCTAGGATCCCAATCTTCCTAGGTATTTATGCTCTTTAAATTAGGGCCAACATTCCCACTAATCTTTTCCATCCATGTGCGGATTTTTTCCATTCATGTGCAGAATAATGTTTTCAAGTGCACCAAGGCAGGTGTAAATGTGCACCACCGATAAAAACAAAACTTAGCCATGGGTACTCTGCTAATCAGCTGAGTAGCATTTGACTGTCTCCTGTGTGACCTCCCAAGCGCCCCACTGACAGAGAACACCAGTTAGGAGCTTAAGTGTTTTTCAGGATTTGAATCCCAGTTACTAAGGCCTGATTTACAAAGACAGGTTTGTGGGACTGCGCGTACCAGTGACTCATTTGTGCATACCAAAAGGTATGTATGTGTAATAATGGCCAGTTAGGTACATGGCAGGCCATTTTCTTCAGGCTGCAGGACACACCGTTTCGAGAACAGGGAGTGGCCGTGCAGTCAGAAAGGCCAGGAGGTTTGGGGACAATTGTTCTGGAGAGATGCCCATTTGGCGGCACAACAATTATTTCATTATCCGCCATGACCTCCATCCTCGACTCCTCCACTGAAGGGTTTCTATTTTCTGCAGCAAGCCGGAGCATCCCACATGTTAGCCACGTGTGGCTCTCTGGCCGGTTGCGGGCGGCTCGTTGGCTCACAACATTATTTACATTTTCAGAATTATGTGGCCAGTTCGCTACTAGTTTGCTAGTGGCTACTGCTTCAGAACCGGTTGGACACCACAGGCCCAAAAGGAAGATGCGGCCAGCTCTGAAGACACGGAGTATAAGCCATTCCCCATGTGCAAGGGGTACCAAAGATTAGACATAAGAAGCAGACCTCCTCCATGCCAAGCCCTTATGACAGAGGGGTTATTGCTCAGCACCAAAAGGGGCACTGCATTATTCTTATTTAGGGTTCCTGAGGGGGAAAGACACAGCATGCAAATATTTACAAAGCTGCACTAGCTGAGGATCTGTGGTTCTAAATCCCCAAACCAGCCCTTCCACCCTGCACGACTAAGCAGGTTACTCTCAGGGAATTGTTTATAAAGTCAAAAGCCAGGGCCTCAACAGTGGTACTTTATTCTCTATCCCCCAGTGTCTGCCTGCAGGGGCCTTACGCACCATTCAAAGGGAAGCTGCACACACTTTTTCCAGCCCTGGGGAAGAAATGCGCTTTCACACTTTCAACGTTTATGATATTTACATGAACTTTCCCGTTGGTCCACCTCATAGGAGTGTTCTACTTTTAATATACGCAGTGCTAAACTGACTTCCTTTCTCCCGGGTACCAACTTCCCTTTAAGGATGTTGGTTGTGGGAAGACAGGAGCAAGGCGATCCCAGAGTCAAAGGATACGTTTGTGGGTGGGGAGATGAAGGGAGCATTTCTCCGGGAAGACTTCCTCACGGTAGCATCGGAGAAGCCACCAAGCTGCGACAAATGGTTCTTTGTTTACACAAGAACCAATTCCAACACCCTTGGCTCCCTTTCAGCTTAGTCTCAAGTGTGCTTCACATTATGCAGAATGCTTCAAATGCCACTTGAGTCCGTTAAGTGTGCTGCTTCCCCCACCAATCCATTTGTTGGCTCCATGCTCTGTAAATAAGCTTAGTTTCAGTGGCTTGGTATGGTAACTCCCAGCTTCTTACAGGTGTTTTGTGTGGCTTGAACTTCTATCCACTATTAGACAGTTACACTAAGCCAGGGTTTTATGGAAAATACGAAGGGATAAAGAGAGTACCTACAGCAAGTTTGAGGATGACACTAAGCTAGGGGGAGAGGTAGATATACTGGAGGGTAGGGATAGGGTCCAGAGTGACCTGGACAAATGGGAGGATTGGGCCAAAAGAAAATCTGATGAGGTCCAACAAGGAGAAGTGCAGAGTCCTGCCCTTGGGACGGAAGAATCCCAGGCATTGTCACAGGCTGGGGACCGGCTGGCTAAGTAGAGGTCAGCAGAAAAGGACCTGGGGATTCCAGAGGATGAGAAGCTGGAGACGAGTCAATAGGGTGCCCTTGTAACCAAGAAGGCTGAAGGATTTAGACTTATTTAGTTTACAGAAGAGAAGAGCGAGGGGGGATTTGATGCAGCCTTCAGCTACCTGAAGGGGGGTTCCAAAGAGGCTGGAGAGAAGCTGTTCTCAGTGGGGGCAGATGGCAGAACGAGGAGCAATGGGCTCAAGTTGCAGTGGGGGAGGTCTAGGCTGGCTGTTAGGAAAATCTGTTTCCCTAGGCGGGGGGAGAAGCGCTGGGATGGGTTTCCTAGGGAGGGGGTGGAATCTCCATCCCGAGAGGTTTTTAAGTCCTGGCTTGACCAAGCCCTGTCTGGGAGGATTGAATTGGGTTTGGTCCTGCTTTGGGCAGGGGGCTGGATTCCATGATTCGTGAGGTCTCTTCTATGATTCTCTGATTAGTGGCTCATATTTACCCTTCCCTCCATCAGATCAGTGTAAACGGATGTACAATGGGTCTTTCGTTTGTCGTCCTCAGTAAGGTACCATATGCACCTCGTCCCCACTTAAACTAAAAGATGGATGGCTAAATTGTTTCACCCTGGTGTTTTTAATTAATTAGGTCTATGCCATAGAAGGTTTAACACAGTCGTTTAATTTAGACTTTGCTCGGTGCATGATGTAAAATCCAGATTTATGACTATTTTTTATCCATTTTTATTGTTATGACTCAGACGCTCATATAAAAAGACGACTGCATGTTGTAGACTTTAAAAAGTGATTCCCTGTAGGTACTGTAAAGTATAGGGCCTATCATATAACAGTGTTGTGTTTATTGCTGTGTTTTGACGCAGTGTTCAGACACCCAGTGAATGATGTCAAGTAGAAGGAACCCTTAATTTTGCAAAATAATAAAGTTCCTATTCTCTTTAAGTAACTGTGCTACTGTATCATTCCACTGAGTCTGTGCTCAATTCATCTTTAGGAACCTCAGCAACAGAAGAAAATAACTTTCTACCTAGAAGACGACCCTACCACATTCTGTTGGCAGTACTTTTGTAAAAGACCCCCAGCGCTGTAATCCTGGTGAAATCCATCCCCCTCCCCCCCCCCCCCGTGAATTTACAGCTGCTGTCATTCGCACAGGGAGGTACCTGGTTTATAACAGCAATACCTAATCGTGGGGTGGGGTGGTGGGATCAGTTACAAAAGCCAATGCATCGACGTGGCAGTAATGCTAAGTGTTGCCATGTGAGAATGCAAGTCTCAACAGTGGGGGCAGGCCCCGACTTCACGGAGGTTTTTTCCCGTGGCACGTTTTTGACATTCTGATGGTCGTTTTGTAGCATTCCAAATTAAAGCTGC